GTGGATGGCTTGGACCAATGGCAAATCGCCATTGGTCCAAGCTGTCCAATCAAAAAAAGAAAAGAAAACCCCCACTGAGTCCATCGATCTTGATGCATCAGCAGTGACAAGCGAATGAGGGACAAGGAGGCTCCTCCCTGTCTCCTCCCTTCCTCCTTCACACAAGCTCGGGGACCGGGTTGGGGACGGGGCTTCGGCGGGCGGGGGGGGGCGTGCTGGGGGCAAGGCTGGGGAATGCCTCACCCGGAACTAGAGGTACCGCACGTCACTGGGTTGAAGTGGTTGCAGATAAGGGCAACTCTAATTCCCTGTAAAGTCTACAAAGTAGAGACGACTTCAGATGCACAAGAGGAGTATTTGGGATACTGATATAGTCACTCAGAGAGAGACCATCACATTTTTGCTATGGAGCCCCATGATCTGTATTTACGGCCCTGATGATCCCCCAACCTGGAAGAGCTGTGTAGATTGTAGGACTGGATGGACAGTCTAAACACAGCATGGCAGTCACCAGATATGGTGGATGTTTTTGGACCATACATGGTCCCTTTATTAAAGGAGAACTATGGGGTCAGTGTTTTTCCCCCATAGTTCTCCTTAGGGTAACGGGAGGACACAAACTAGCGTCCTCCCGTCACCCTAGGCTCAGTATATAGGGAGCTACAGCTCGCGGTATACTGAGACGCCGCAGCCGGAGCGGATCCCGACTTAGATGACGGGATCCGCCCAGCTGCGTGAGTGACAGCTGGCTCTGCCTATCTAGAGGCAGAGCCAGCTGTACCCTCCCCCGTCCGTTCCGCCAGTCAGCGCTGGCAGATCGGAGCGGGGAGAGGGGAATCCAGCCCCTCCCCCTGTCATGGCAGAGAGCGGTGACAGGATCGAGAGGTGAGCGAACGCCGATATGTGTTCGCTGACCTCCCGATCTACTGAACCGACCTGTGACAGTCTCGTTGTCACACGTCGGCTAAAACTATGAGGTGAGTGAAAAGCCCCTCCCCCCCCCTCATAGTTCTCCTTTAAGGTATACATGACCTTACCTCAACATGAATGACTGCCAACAATTGCTCTGAGTTCTCTTCTTATATATCATCCTGCATTACGAATACAGGGAACAGCTCCTCTGCCAACTGTTCAAAAATCATTTCACACAATTATCATTGAATTGCTGTTTTCTTTGCTTGCTCTTGCGCAATATCAGACCGCGTGTCTAGTGATGAGTATCACCGTTTTATCGTCCTACAGAACAGTTTCCAGTTCTTCCCGGATAAAGGAGAGACCAGTTACGGGTTTTACAAGGTCAGGAGGACCGCGAGGACCTCTAAGAATGGATACTCGGGATCAACGTTCCACCTG